CAAACTCAAATATATAATTTATTTTGAAATCGGACCTCAAATTGAGGTCCAAATCCCCAATTTTCGAAAAACTTAGGTTCTACCCAAAACACCCAATTTCTCCCATGAAAATCTTTGATTTTAGGTTGAGATCATGTTAAAAGATGTTAATGATTGAAAGAAATGAGTAAAAACTAACTTACAATTGGTTTGGAAGAAGACTTGTTCTTGGAAAATCGCCTAAGTGTGTTTGGGTTTGAGAAAATATGAAAAAATGGGATTCAAAATCGTTTAAGTGTAAAAATTGCAGGTCTCAGTTATGGGAAATGCGAACAGGGGTTCGCAATTGCGAACCCCGACCTGCTGATGTGGGAATTGCGAAGATATAGTTCGCATTTGCGAACACTGACGGAAATCCTTGACTTTCGCATTTGCGAGAGTCTGGTCGCAATGGCGAATTCGCTTTTGCGATGGTGAGGTCGCATTTGCGACTCAGGCTGCCAGTCCCCTCCTTCGCATTTGCGAGTGGTTTGTCGCATTTGCGGGCTCGCAATTGCGAGCCTAGCTTCGCAAATGCGAAGCCTGCAGGTCAGTTAATACTAGAAATTTTTAAGTTCAAAAATGCAACCCGTGGCCTAAGCAAAACTCACCCGAGCCCTCGGGGCTCCAAACCAAATATACATACAACCTCAAACACATCCTACAGACCTATTTGTGCGATCAAATCGCCAAAATAACATCATAAATATCGAATTAATCCTCAAAATCCATGAATTCTTTCAAACATCATAAAACATCAAATTTTCCAATTTAAATCCGAATCACGTCAAACGACGTCCGTTTTTCACCAAATTTCACAGAAACATCTTAAATCATATATAAGACCTGTACCGAGCGCCGAGACCAAAAATACGGTCCCGATACTAACATGTTCTAATCAAATGTCATTTTCAATTTCCTTAAACAATTTCAGAAAACAATTTCTTTCAAAAATTTATTTCTCGGGCTTGGGACCTCGAAATTCGATTCCGGGCATAAGCCCAAGTTCCATATTTTCCTACGGACCATTCGGGAACGTCAAATCACGGGTCCGGATCCGTTTACCCAAAACCTTGACCAAGGTCAAATTTATTCATTTTAACATTAAAACTTAGCATTTTTTACAGAATCTCATATTTAAGCTTTCCGGCTACGCGTCTGGACTGCACACGCAAATCGAGACAACTCTAAATGAGGTTTTCAAGGCCTCGAAGACACAAAATTCAATTAAAAACAGGTGATGACCCTTTGGGTCGTCACAGTGTGGAGCGAAAGTCTCAAGAGGCGTAGACTTAGCAATTTAGGGCTTACACTCGGGCGTTCGGGGCGTACGCCGGACGTTTGAGACGAGTTCTTTTTATGAGGCATAAGCCCCAATGACTTTTTCTAATTAAAACAAAATTTGTTGAATAAGTCTTTCATATAATATCCAAATTTTCAAAAGTCATCTTGGTAATTACTGAAAATTTTTAAAAAGGAACTGAAATGTATTAAATTTAAAAGCCAAGACCTTTTTTTATTGATTGAAGCGCTATTCATGGTCTTTTCCAATTCTTTATCTTGTCCGCTAGTCTGCTAATATCTCCCAAAAGCAACGAATATTCAATTTTTTTTACAAATACAAAAAAAAAACTTCATTCTCCTTCGTTGCAGCAAGTTCAAAGTTCAAATTGCAGGTTAATCATCCTTTTTGTTCCTCCATGTAGTAAACTTTATTCTTTTAGACTCAAGTTACTTGTGGTATAATAGACTGTTTTGACTAGTTTTTTGTGGGGATGGAGAGAGAGCGTGCACACACACACACACACACACACACACACACACACATATATATATATATATATTTCATACATTTATAGTTTCTTACTTATTTATCGTACTTAACTTTTACTTATTATNTAGCTGAATAGACCATCTATTTACGTTATTGTATTCACAAATACATATTGTGAATACAGTCGAATACAATAATCTGTCTAGTTGTAATGCCCTATTTCACGCCGTGAATACAGTCGAATACAGTCGATACAATAATCTGTCTAACTGTAATCTCCTATTTTACGCCGAGAAATGCTACTGTATTCATGAATACAGTAGCTTAAATACATCGAATATACTCTAAAAAAATCTGAAAACATTGCTATAAGAAATATTATAGTAAATGATAGCTACAACTAACTAATAACCACTAAACAATAGTGGTTTGTGAAAATTTCTCTTTAATTTTTCACTAAAACTTTGACAAAAATTTACAATATCACGTTTGCTAACGGAAAATGAAGGTGAAATCAATAAAGGATATTTAGCACTGAGTGGCAACACATCCAAATAATTGGCAGAAAAAAGACATACTTATAGATATTGGCACCTTTAGTTTAACTCTAAATTTTTAATTAGTTTATTTGATATTTGGTAGCCTAATTTATTTTGCCCGAAAATAGAGCTTATCAATGCACGCATCTCTCTCTCTATATATGGAAAAGAAATCTTCATCAAAGATGGATTTATCCGCATGTATATTTTATTGTATATTCGTTTCTCTTATATATCAAAGCATATAACATATAAATAATTGTATTGTCAGTATATCATAGTGTATAACACAATAATAAAGTGTATATTAAAATGTATATTATAATTTTTGAGTATATCAAAATGGCCCACAATCTAACAAATCTCTAATATTGTATATCACGTATATCACACATCTAATAAAGTAATGATGATATACAACATAATATACATACAAGTATACATGGTGATATACGCAGATATACACCTCCTCAAACACCCATATTTTCTATTTTCATACATCATCCGCCGCATCACCACCACAAAAATAGCATAGCCACCAATGATTCCATCGTTAATAGAAACTATATTATAATAAATAAAAAAAGAAGAGGGAGAAAAAAACTAAAATTCTTGATAAAAGAAGAGAAGAGGAAATATCACGGGACATAGTTGCGGCAGTGGTTCGTGGCCAGTGGTAGAGAAGCAAGTGGAGGTTGCTTTACTGCTTAAAAATAGCAAAGGAAGCCGTAAAAAATTGGTGGCGATTTTTTATGTCGAAATGTGAAAAAAATCATTTGGAGAGGAGAAGTGAGTATGGTGATGGTTCTTGGGTTATTGCCCCTTGTCCGTGTTGAAATCAGATGAGAAATCAAAGAGGAGGTATTAGATAGTTCTGTTTTAAGAGGTAGAATTGGGACTCGCCCTAAGGCGAAGCACTCGTAAAACGCCCCTAGGCATATATGGGCTTAGTTCCGTGAGACTTACGCCTTGGTCATCGGGGCTTACGCCCTGGACACACCCAACGGCCAGCGTGCTGGGCTCGCCTAATAGAACTTTATGCAATTATATGTAACTAACCTTGTAAATCCTCAATTTTTGATAATAAATCGTTGACTATTCAAAATTACCTTTTTCTTAATCATAAATCATTAAGTTGAGAGTATTTTATGTCATAATTTAAATGAAAATTATTGCACGTTATCTACTAAGACTGCTATGATAGTTAATTTTAAATAAATCTTTCGTTTAAAAAGTATTTATTTATTAACTTTTGTTATGTCTTTACTATATAATAGTCCATAATATTTTTTATAATTATTTTTTTAAATATTTTTTTTTTTCATGTTTACGATATACAATACTTATTAAATTAATAGATCAGTATTAGCTAGTAACTATTTACAAATAATTAGTTATCATGGTATTGTATGGTGAATTATGTGTACGATATACAATACTTCGTTTTACTTCAAAACAACGTCATACAAAATACCACGTTTTATGAATTATATTTAAGTTGCAGAATTTTTTCTGGAAGTTGCGTCAAAGATAATGAAGAGCAACATTGAGCTGTTGATGGTTGAACAAAGGCGAGTAAATTGGCCCTTCTCAAAGCCCATAAATGAATGAAAACACCCTATGTCCACATCTACATCGAAAAGAACAAAAATTAATGTGTTAAAGAGATTCCTTACCATGGTATATAATCGTGCATAATCAATGTCTAATCTTGTATACGGGCTAAAAAAAAAGTAAATAGTGAATCCGGTCAGCTATTTGTGTAAATATTCCATTTTAATGGAGACATCTGATTTTTGATTAATTAAGTAGTTGGTTACGGCATGCTAAAGATGTACTATTTAATTTATGTACCTTGTTATTCATAACTGCAGGGTGAATTCAAAATATGGAATTACTCAGAAGTATGAACATCAAAACCAGGTGTGATGAAATCCAAACACAATATAAGCTCTAAAAATATTTATATTAACGATTGATTGATTAATGTACTGTGAAAATTTATCATAAAATACTAGGTTACACTCGTTATCAGCGTATTGCAAACCTTCTCCTCAAAGATATAGTGAACGTTTACTTTTTTTTTTTATTTCTTTTTTTATTTTGTTTAATATTAGTTTGAGACAAACTTAGATGGAGCGACATAGTCAAGTGATGATCCACATGATCAACCCAACTTGCTAGGCATTGAGACTTACTTATCGGTATTGTTTTATTGCTTGATCAAAGTTTAAGTTTTCCTTGGGATGTTAAACTGGATAATCTTTTTAGGTTTTGACAATGCACAGTTAGCAACCCTATAAACTGAGTTTGTATTATATGCAAATTATATTTGTTTTTCTAGTATATGACTTAATGCTGCAACGTTGACTGCCTAGTACTGCTGTAAGTTTTCAATTTTGTTACCAAATTTGGTTCATGCAGGTACTCAGAATAGGTCGGATAGTTTCAGAAACAGAACATCTCTTTAAAATGGAAAGAGCCCTCCAATTGGCATTTAATATTGCCTTTGCTTCCTTTCTTTATAAACCTTGGTAAAGCAACAGAGAAAATAAGAAGCAATCATCTGTCTACTCTTCATTAGTTCCTTAGTAGTAGTACTTTGACTTTGAAAGATGAGTCAAAATCTTGGATTTGTTTTTACTTCAAAACTCAAAGATCTGTTAAGAATGGTCTTCCTTGGATGTTTGCATTTCCTAAATGCAATAGAGTTATGGTTAAATGTTCGTTTGAACAAGAAAAATGAGCAAGAAATGAGCCTACAAAATATGAATCAGCCTCTTACTAATGACCAACTTAACAAAATTGCTGAAGGCATATCTGTTTTTCTTCCTGGGGTCCTAGAAAATGTACTTTCTAGTACTAAAACTAAATCCCACGAAGGATCTATTCAACGAAAGCTCTTCGTTGGTAGTCTCGGATGTAATACTACATCCGAGACTTTGCATCGGTTTTTCTCAGCCTATGGCGAGGTCGAAGAAGCTGTTGTCATTTTGGATAAATATGGTATAAGCAAAGAGTATGGTTTTGTCATTTTCAAGCATGTAAAGAGTGCGCTAATGGCACTCAAAGAGCCATATAAGAGGATTAATGGAAAGACGACAATCACAAAGGTTGCTAATTCAGGAGCCAGAGACAGAGAGGATGAGTCTTTACGTACAGTTTATGTGGCTAATGTACCACATGACATGTTACCAGGTAGATTGTTGGAATATTTTTCCTCTTATGGTGTAGTAGAAAAGGGTCCTTTTGGTTTCGATAAAGAAACAGGAAAATCAAGAGGTTGCGCTATTTTTGTGTACAAAACACTAGAAGGGGCTGAAACAGCAATTTATGAACCTATCAAGTGGGTCGATGGACTCCATTTAACGTGTGAAATGGCCCTCGGGAGGACAAAGAAAAAACCCCGAGTTAGTCTTAACTCGGGGTCATTCAATTTAAATTGCCATTACCAGAATCCAAGATCAATGTTTGGTGGTGGTGGCTCGAGACCAGAAGTGTCACAAGTTGGAGTTCAATATGCCCAGTTTCAAGGCAATAAGGACATATATCCACAGAATTGTGATTGTGGCCTAGTTTCTAATTGTAACATTCAGGTTCAGGGCTTATCGCCAACAGTTATAGGTCGCAACCACATTGGCTCTGGGCTTTGTTCTAAGTTGTCTCATGGCGATTACAGTCTTTGGTCCTCGGAATTTCCAAGGCATAATCCAGTATGGTTTTGATGGTTCATCTTCTTTGTCGCGAATCCACCTGAAAGTTATCAAGGAGGAACATTTTCTTACATGCCGGACTCTTTCTTCTAATTGCTATAGTTATTGTGTTTTGCTCTCGCATTTTGCCAATAGATATGAATGAAGTAGGTTTATTTAACTAAAATGTAGTACTAGCTAGGTAGTTTCCTTTTGGAAAGCTGGGAAGAATCTTTATTAAGAAAATCTCTACAAAATCAAGTCCTCAAGTTTTAATTAGCATCTTGTTGATCCCAATTTTTTTTTTTTTTGTGGTACTAGCATTAGTCTCTTGATGAAATATTCATGGGCGAATGTAGAGTTCCGTCGCCGAGTTCATTTGAAATCAGTACTTTTGACGCGATACATTAATTTGTGTAAAAATACTTTAAATTTGTAATAACTGGTAGATCTGAACCCATAATTTTAAAAATATAATGATTCGATTTTAAGAACCGCAATCGTTAAACCGATAAACTTTAAATTAAGGACAGAAATATCTAAATAATAACCCAATGCTATTTTCTAGGACGTAAAGAGAAGCAGAGGTCATCTAATCGAAAGTTGAAAAGGACCAAACATGTCGAATCTATCCCTTTTCATCAGTGGTTATGCTCAAGTGAAAGAAATAAATAAAAAAGATGTAAAAGAAAGTTTAAAAAGCTATCTGAATAGATAAAGGGGACAATAACCCTGAAAGCGACTTAAGGCCAAAAGAGAAAGATTAGTCAACCCCTCTTTTAAACATGGCTTATGGCTACGCTTCACCAGCTTTTGTATATGATAAGGTGACTTGTCCCTAAGCATTTTTTTAATTAAATCTTTCTTCTTGAGTTCGAGTTGTGAAAATAATCTTTTGCAAAAATATAAAGTAAAACTGCGTACAATAGACATTTATAATCCGACTCTTTCCTAAATTCACGCATAACAGAAATTTGGTGCTCACCGGGCTGCCCTTTCTTCTGTCACATGGAAAATCAAAGGCAGGATAGTGAAAATTGAACCAACGCCATAGGTGCAAAAAACTAGTAATCATTTGTTTCATTGTAAGCCAATGTGCATGTCGATATAGTAAAAAATATTTGTACCTAACTGTTTACATCAATTAATTAATACAAGAAAAGTTTCTTTTATACGTATATTTATTCCTTAATCATAGTTGAATGATATGTATTTTTAGTTTCATTTTTGAGTAATATAATTGTATACGGTTAAAATGGAATGCCTCTAATTTATAGGCTCGAGGGTCCGTCATGGACCCGAGTTTGGGAGTGAGGTCGAGATTCGAGACTAGTGGATGTCACACCTCCTTTTTTACACACCTACCCCGAAGGATAATGTATAAGGGGAGTTTTTCCATTTAAAGTGACATTATTCGAAATGGGATCATTTATTTATTTTTAGAGTTGCCACTTGGGATAGGATTGGCTTTTGGTGTCCCAAGTCACCGATTTAATTTAAATCCCAAATCGAGGAAAATTTCGACTTCCCAATTGGAGTCTGCGAACCAGAAATTCTGTGTAAGGAATTCTGTTGACCCGAGGGAAGGTGTTAGGCACCCTCGGGTCCCGTGGTTCTAGCACGGTCGCTTAAATTATTATAAATGGCTAAAAATCTAATTTTTGTACATGTTTAAACCTATAGTGCAATTTTACAAATTTGTTTAATCGCTTTTAATTAGTTTTTTATGAAAGTGAACGCCATTTAAGAGCGTGTTTTTGGATCACGTCACATGAAATGCACCCGGATCCTCGACACCTCTTATTCAACGTTTTGGGATTTGGATTTGGGTCGCATGAAATGCACACCCGTATTTAAGAAGGTAAAATTATTAAAAGCGCGCCTAAAATGACTAGCGTCTTATTAACTTTGCGGGAGGCCATGAAATTCGCTAAATGGCACATCCCAAATTCTAAGGATTTTAATAGAAGTATTTTAGGAGGGCCACGCAATTTATGATTTTTTGTTGGTGCGGCGCACCTCGATTTCATTTTTAAAGGATACTAAACTAAGGTTGAAGGATCGTGGGTTATGGAAGGAGTTATTGTGGAAGTCAAAAAATATTTTGGCCATTTAAGGTATTGACAAGTTATCCCCATTTAGAGACGCTCACAAATTACTACCCTATTTTTTTGTAAATTATGAGATAATTATCTATTAGAAAAGAATGAGCTAACCATTAATCTATACTAAAATCAATGAGGCATGAAAATTAGACTTCTTCGGTCCAAGACCATTGTCAAAAGTTGACAAATCTGTCATGCTATTCCCAACTCTAAAACAAAGCATTCGTGAATTCTTCAAGAAAATCCAATACAAAGCACAAGATTTCATGTATCCACTTGACAATTAATAAAACCATTTCAAAGAACTTTGAGCAATTTCCAACAATACCTAACTAAATCACGTACAGTAGTGACAGCCTTTGAGTAAACCGACATTTTGTCCATACCGTGACTTTGCTATTTAAATCAGACAATCACCCACGACTTATTCATCAATTAAAGGATAAAAATCCAACAACCAAAGATAATAAAATTACTCTATATCAAACAAACACAAAGATGCAAATTGACAATTACCAAAATTAACTGAGAAGATCAACACTGATACAGTAAGATTATCAAAGTGCTAGAAAATAGAAGCTGACCTTTAAAGAACAACATCTTTAGAATTGATTATATATTGAATCGCTTTGAATACATTGGAGAAAATGGTATCGATATAACTCTGACTTCATCCAAACCATCAACCATAGAACCTTGAAACAGGGACCTCGACGAACTTGACGGACGGAGCTCAGCAAAATTTCAGCAACATCCAACAACTCTAATCGGCAGAAAATCACTCGAAATTCCAGAAAAATTGGAGCAAAAGAGTAAAAATTTGAATAGCCTTCAAACACTTTATTTTTTCATTTATTTGTTCATTTTTTCCTTTTGAGTCTGACCATTTCTCTTATGTGTGTTTCCTTTCAATTTGATGAAAGAAGGCTACGAAGATGGGGAAGGGAAAATGACTGGATCGGGATTTTTGAAAGGGCTGGTTTTGTTGAAGAGATCAGGGGTAATGGCCGATCTGAAGGTTTTTTTTTAGGTGTATCTATGGTGTGTTTGTGGTGTAGGTAGTATTATATAGGGTAGGGATTAGGTTAGGGGTATGGGCCTAGGAACTATGGGCTAGGGATTTGGGCCAAAGACTAAAAAATGGACTATAAGATTTATAAAAACGGGATAAACCAACCTAAAACTAATTCTTTCTTCTAAAATTATGTACAATTATAATATAAAAATATAAACTAATTTTAATTAATTGAACTAAACTATAAAACATAAAACTATTTTTTTTTTTGTGTGTGTTTTCAAGATTATAAAAATAAAGATAGGGTACTATTTTTGTAATTTTTTTTTTTAAGATTAAAAATGACTATAAAATATTAATAAACCTATTTTTTTGTAATTTTTATTTTTTTGTAATAAAATAAAGCAAAATAGTAAAAAGTAGTTGAAATGGCGATATTAAGCCTAAACTAAATATTTACATGCTAAAATGGGTAAAATTTGGGGGAGGGTCAAAAATTACATGTCAACAGCTGCCCCTCTTTGACTGGAAACGCGAAGAGTTTTCAGACAAAGAATGACTAGACAGGTTTTTTGACCCGACCCTTATTTAAGGAGAGCAAAAACAAAGAGGAGGGAGAATGTGACCGAGCCCTGGTATCTGAGCTGCCTACATATCCTTGGCTATAAAGGAATCAGGCCACGTGTAGTTCAGAAGTGGATGAGATGATGGAGTACCGAGGTTGAGAGCCGAGCGAGGTGCCGTCGAGGTTACGATTCGCGGTCCCGTTTATTACATCAAAATCAAAATTAAAAAGACTAACTAAGCCTATCAGCTACGAGTTACAAGATTCCTATCTATAATTCTTCTGAAGCTTGATCTTGAGTCTTGGCTAGTTTTGCTATGGACTCCGATCTGAATCTTGATGCTCGCAAGTTGAAGGTGTTTTACTTCTTCATGCAGCATTGGGTCAAAACAGGGTCAACGGAGCTTGTGACTTCAATCAAATTTTGAGCAATCCGCGCCCTTGCTTGCTTCACATTTGAGTTCATCTTTTTTGTTCTTTTCTTCTTTTCTTGATTCTGGATTGAGATTTATTCCATTGGTCATCTCACACCTTGTGTCTTGAGGTTGACCTGCTTAGGATACCAAAACAAACAAACGAACGAAATTTTCTGCCCCAGTTTTCACTAGGAAAATTTCGTGAGTTAGTTGTGACACATATCTAATCAATCAAATTGGAAACGTGTAAAGGGATCCTCGGTTTTTGTTCCGGGATTTAGAAAGAAAAAGCTCCACGGTTTTTGTGCCGGGAGATCCTCGGTTTTTGTTCCGGGATTGAAAAAGCTCCACGGTTTTTGTGCCGGGAGATCCTCGATTTTTGTTCCGGGATTTGGGAAGAAAAAGCTCCACAGTTTTTGGCCGGGAGATCCTCGGTTTTTTGGCCGGGATTTGGAAAGAAAAAGCTCCACGGTTTTTTTGTGCTGGGAGATCCTCGGTTTTTGACCGGNCCGATTTAATTTAAATCCCAAATCGAGGAAAATTTCGACTTCCCAATTGGAGTCTGCGAACCAGAAATTCTGTGTAAGGAATTCTGTTGACCCGAGGGAAGGTGTTAGGCACCCTCGGATCCCGTGGTTCTAGCACGGTCGCTTAAATTATTATAAATGGCTAAAAATCTAATTTTTGTACATGTTTAAACCTATAGTGCAATTTTACAAATTTGTTTAACCGCTTTTAATTAGTTTTTTATGAAAGTGAACGCTGTTTAAGAGCGTGTTTTTGGATCACGTCACATGAAATGCACCCGGATCCTCGACACCTCTTATTCAACGTTTTGGGATTTGGATTTGGGTCGCATGAAATGCACACCCGTATTTAAGAAGGTAAAATTATTAAAAGCGCGCCTAAAATGACTAGCGTCTTATTAACTT